CCCCCCACCCATTCACCCCCCTTGGTAAATTCCTCTTTAATTATCGGTATAAAACGGAAACCCCTCTAACGCGGAAACGGAAAGAAAATCCGCTACCTTCCGGGTTTTTTAAAACCTGTCTCAAGCAGAAAATGCTTTACCTGTTCAGCCCACATAATTCTACACTAAGTATAGAATTCTGTGGTTCAGCCTTAATTTGAAACAAAACTATCGAGTTACAAAATGCGAGACGCGCTGATAAGCAACATGTCTCGGTTCTCTACTTTAAACTTTACGCCATGCCGCCAGGCAAGGAAGGGAAGTAGGGGAACAATTTGAGGGTCATTGTTACCCTAGGCAGAGAGATAAGCTCGCATCGATGTTACCCCAAGGACTAGACGGTCAGAGAGAATAAGAACGTATAGATCTAGACCAAGGACTTACAACAAACTGTAGGCTCCAGCCTCCTTGTGTTAACCCCCACTATGGCTGGATCGGACCGATCGCCCGACCCCGTCGCCTGAAACTGAAAACAAACACGTTTGTTTTTGAGGCGACCGAGTTGGGCGATCGGCCCGATCAGCCGATTCCATCCGTAGTCGGCACCCCGTCCGTCAGCCATGTAGATGGTCAGGGTGGTGTGGGTATGAAATCTCACAAGTGCCAGGGAAGAAAGCGCTCGAGTGTCGCTCCAGCACGGAATCTTTCATTGGTAGCTTGAAGCCAGAGGTAAGATATTAATTTGACCAATGCCTGACGCCCTAATCGTAGGGTCAGCCGAGAAAGGAGTTCCTAGAACCGTTCTTACATGGCAGTGAGGGGTGGCATTGGTAGACTGTGCTTATCACACAAATGGGTGGGGCTAATGGTGGAAGCAACGTATGGGTAGAGTCAAAGATGTTCGAACGTTTCTGTTTTAATTGGTCAAACAGTGGTCCTATGAGATGCAAGCAGTGGTCGCGATGGATAGGTAGGACTGACGCATGCCTTTATCAGAATCAGAAAGAGGTGTGAAGTTTTGACTACTGTGTGCCGACCGGTCAAGCAACCCTTGATCCCACTGGCTGGGTCTCTGACCACCCCCCCCCCCCACCTAGATTCCCCTGTCTAAGACGGGACGAAAAAAAATTTTCTGGCTCCCTTGCGATTCCGTCTTACACGGGTTCGAACTGTACTTGCCAGTGTACATGTATTACAATTATTTTATTGTGAAATGCTTATAGAGAACGTCAGACTTAGATCGAACTGAAACTGAAAGTTGAAGGAAAGCTTGACAATTTAGCTGATTGCGTTATAATACACAGACTGACAGACAGCCAGACAGCCAGCCAGACAGACAGACAGACAGACAGACAGACAGACAGACAGACAGACAGACAGACAGACAGACAGACAGACA